ATTTGGATTTGGATGTGGATGGTGATTTTGACATTATAATCGTACAGTTTCGTCTTCATTCCCGATCCTTTGCTCCACTGGATCCCCAAGAACGGATGTCGGGACCTACCTTGAAGCTTCATGTCGCAACCCGTTTCGATTCCAACTACCGGATCCGATTTGGACGACCCCACCCTTCCCTGCTCCAACAACGGTAAATTCATCAATCAATCAAACACGCTTTCCAGATGAATTTTCATTCTGTTTCAAATTGTTGATTCGATGAACTACTGCTATTTGAGTCTGGATTTGGTTGGCGTTGAATTGGGGAAATATATATATGTAAAACCCCTTTTGAGGCTTTTTTGACTGCTTAATTGTTGAATGGCATTAGATTACTAAGGTTGGTCATATGAACTTGGTCCAGGTGTAGAGGAAGAGGACCCATTGATCTCAGGTGTAGATGGAGAGTTGTCCTCTGATAGTAATAATGGTGATTCTGGATACTGGTTGAGTGGAGTCAAATTCTTTGGTGTAGATTTAACCCCTGATAATGTTGCTGTTGCAATGGTGTATTTTGTTCAAGGAGTTTTAGAACTTGCAAAGCTTGCTGTCAGTTTTTATTTAAAAGATGATTTGCATTTAGATCCTGCTGAGGTATGTAATTTCTTTACATTCATGGTTCTTTTCTGCTAACTGTGGTATTTATTGACTTGAGAATGCAGAACTTCATTGTCTTTGATGTTGCACTTTAACTGAAGTTCATGTAGAGTGTGCACTATTCTTCACATGGCTTAACTTCGCCCTGTGTGTTTTGCAGCCATTTTAAGAACTTTGCTTGTAATGTGAGATCCCAAATCAATTGGAGAGGGGAATGAGTGCCAGCAAGGACGCTGGCCCCGAAGGGGGTGGATTGTGAGATCCCACATCGGTTGGAGAGGGGAACAAAACATTCTTTATAAAGGTGTGGAAATCTCTCCTTAGCAGACACGTTTTAAAAACCTTGAGCCCGGAGGGAAAGCTCAAAGAGGACAATATCTGCCAGCGGTGGGCTTGGGTCTTTACAGTTCATATTAGAGCTAGACACCAGGCGATGTGCCAGCGAGGAGGCTGAGTCTCAAAGGGGGGTGGACACCAGGCGGTGTGCTAGCGAGGACACTGGGCCCCGAAGGGGGATGGATTGTAAGATCCCACATCGGTTGGGGAGAGGAATGAAACATTCTTTATAAGAGTGTGGAAATCTCTCTCTAGTAGACGCGTTCTAAAAACCTCAAGAAAAAGTCCAAAGAGGACAATATTTGCTAGGCGGTGGGATTGGACTATTACATGTAATTTCTGCATTTCTAAGATATGATTCGTTGGAAGAGCCTTAATACAATTCTAATGAATCATGTATGTGTTTGACTAGACAGTCAGCTGTAATTTCTGGTTTCGCTGCATTGCCATGGCTGATCAAACCCCTCTATGGGTTTATTAGGTATAAGTTCCTCTCTCGCACAGTATTCAGGGCTCAACTACTTTCCTCTCTTGTACACTTTCATAATAACTGTTTGGTTATTGCAGTGACTCTGTTCCTCTTTTTGGTTACCGAAGAAGGTCATACTTGATTTTATCAGGGCTTCTTGGTGCATTCTCATGGAGCTTTATGGCCATCCTTGTTAATAGCAAGTATGGTGCTGCTATGTGTATACTTCTCGGGTCTCTTTCTGTGGCGTTTTCTGATGTTGTATGTCTTTACTATTATTCCCTTTTGCTCTATTTTTAAGTTCATTTGCCTTCATGTAAACCTTTGTTCTTTAGAAAATAATCTTACAAAAGTTCTCTCTGCCGGCCTACATTGCTTTTCTTTTTTTTGGCAGAAATTGCATAATGGATTGACCATGGAACGAGTTTCACGCTACCAAAACTCGCTTTTGACTATACTGAACATTAATGTAGGTGGTAGACTCGATGGTCGTAGAGAGGGCTCGTGGTGAATCACCAAGTATGTCCGGTTCTCTCCAGTCGCTATGCTGGGGATCATCTGCTTTTGGTGGTATTGTTAGTTCCTACTTTAGTGGCTCCCTGGTGGATTCTTATGGTGTAAGGTAATATATTTATACCGATATTTATATTTTTCATTTGACTGTAGTTTTCTTAGTAGTAAGTCAAGCATTAAACCTTATGAATGTACTCATCAATTTGGATCTCTCAGGTTTGTATTTGGAGTAACAGCCTTGTTACCTTTGATGACAGCAGCAGTTGCTGTTCTTGTTGAAGAAAAGCGTGTTTATGCCTCATTAAATGAGCCTAATCTTCCTAAAACTGGCTTGAGTTTTCTTGAAACCTCTAAACAGCACATATTTAATATATGGACTGCTATTAGACAGCCAAATATATATCTTCCCACACTATTCCTTTTTCTGTGGCAGGCAACGCCACAATCAGACTCGGCAATGTTCTTCTTTGTGTAAGTGCAATATCTGAGTTGAACAATGATTTTGTTGGTTTTAAGTACTTGAGATTGACATCCGTACATCTTTTCTCAGCACAAATAAACTCGGATTCACCGCCGAGTTTCTTGGACGAGTTAAGCTGGTTACTTCAGTTGCATCTTTGATTGGTGTAGGATTATACAATGGGTTTCTTAAAAATGTTGCGTTGAGGAAAATTTTTCTAATCATGTCAATAGTTGGTTCAGCTCTTGGGATGACACAGGTTCACACAGTTTTCCTCCTCTTTTGTGCTGGTGTTTATTAGAAACGAACAGAAAACTAGTGGCTCATTTTCATTGTGTCTAAGTTCTTGCTTATGTATGTGGCACAGGTTTTTCTTATTACTGGATTGAATCGAAAGTTCGGCATAAGCGATGGTTGGTTTACTATTGGGGACTCTTTAATCATCACAGTTCTTGGTCAGGTAGTATGTTTTTTCATAAAGTGCTACACCTCTGTCATTGTTCTTCACTGCAAATTATTCTCAAGGATAGTTACATTCTTTCACTTCATATCTAGTAAGACAGAGAAAAAAGGTGAAGTCATAGGGGAAAACTTACGTGAGATCCCACATTGTTGGAAAGGGGAACGAAACATTCCTTATAAAGATGTGGAAACCTCTCCCTTGTGGATGCGTTTTAAAACCTTGAGAGGAAACCTGGAAGGGAAAGCCCAAAGAGGATAGTATCTACAAATGGTAATAGAGTCAGACACCGAGCGGTGTGCCAGCGAAGACGTTGGCCCCCAAGGGGGGTGATTGTGAGATCTCATATTGGTTGGAGAGGGAAACGAAACATTCCTTGTAAGTATGTGGAAATCTCTCCTTAGTGGACTCACATTGGTTGGAGAGGGAAATGAAACATTCCTTGTAAGTATGTGGAAATCTCTCCTTAGTGGATGTGTTTTAAAATCTTGAGAGGAAGTCCGGAAGGGAAAGGCAAAAAGGACAATATCCGGTAGCGGTGGCTTGTTACAATTCTTATGGGGAAAGGCTAACTTCAACTTGTTTTTCAGGCTTCTTTCATGCCGGTTCTGGTGCTAGCAGCAAGACTATGTCCAGAGGGAATGGAAGCCACACTTTTTGCAACACTCATGTCAGTATTCAATGGAGGGAACCTTCTTGGAGGTCTGATAGGCGCTGCTTTGACTCAACTCTTTGGTATCACAAAAGATAGATTTAACAATTTAACCACTCTAGTAATCATATGCAATCTGAGCTCATTGCTACCCTTGCCCCTCCTTGGCCTTCTTCCAGAGGAAACTCCTGATCCCACCTCAAAACAGAGCTCAGATGTTGAAATGAAACCAATTTAAGTCTCAAAACAGTTCATAGATTGCCAGACTTTGCCTGCCGACCCGATTGAAATAGACTCTTCTGCATATAGACCTTTCCATTAATGCATCAGCAAGGGACCCAAACAACCTCACATGTGGTGGGAGGGCCCTGCTGTTTGCCACATACTCTGATTCCTGTCCCAACTTCAAGAACCAGAGATTTTCCTTTTTAGTCGTCAAACCAGAAACATGTCAAGTTGCTAAGGCAGCCACCATTGAATGGTACCACAGGACTTTATTGCATGTTCTTGTTCTGCTGCTTTAGATGTTTTTCTGTAAACAGCCTTATTTTGTACTTTTACAACAAAAATTCAGAAACAGATGTTCTGTTCTTTGTTTGATGAGTGTGCAATGGCTTTAGATTGATCTTATTTATATGTAATAGCTACGGATCCACGTTCCGACACATCCAAAGGTTGTTTAATTATCTATCGAGACATCTGAGTGTGTGCTAATGAGAGGATATTTTAAGCTCGAGTTTTTTACATAATACTTCGAATGAATGACCTGATTAAGTCTTCTCAAGAGAGTTTGAGTTGTGAGGTATTTTACACTTTTTTTTTCCTCGTCGTCTTAGTACAATACTAATATCTAGTGTATATATTAAACAAGGCACCAAATGGGCTTTTTTATGTCGAGAGATGCATGAATTGATTGAAACCTTATTCGAATAAGAGCAAGAATTATCTCGAGAATATGATGATTACGTCAATAGCTACACTAGCAATATGCACCAGTGCATAATGTCACAATCATATTTTTTCAATCATGTAGCGTTGTGAGTGATTTTGACACGCTCAGGACTAAGCTAAAGTCCTCCCTAACAATTAAATAGCGTAGTTTCATAGCAAAATCAGTATACTAATCGAGGGTGAGCCGATAGGTAAAGAGTCTAAAGAGGTGAGCTATGTGCCAAGATACCACACACAAATCTATTCATGTTAATTGAGCCCAGCCTATCCACGACTTCAGAACCACACGAGCTAGCTCCGCATATGAAGAAATAGGTAGAGTCTATTTTTCATTAGCCTTTATAGTAACATGCAAAAGAGACTCCAGCCTATCCACGACTTCAAAACCACACGAGCTAGCCCCGCATATGAAGAAATAGGTAGAGGTCTATTTTTCATTAGCGTTTATAGTAGCACATGCATAAGAGACTATGCATAAGAGACTCACTCGAAGTTAGGATAGATTCTAAATTTTCTAATAGCGGAAGCTTTCATATATATATATATATATATATATACACATGGAGTGAGTCCTCCTCTCCCTTTCCCACTCTGCGACACCAAGAATAAACGGAGCTTCCTCCGACGGCCTGTAGCCATTTTTGTTGTCTTCGTCTTCCTTTTCTCGCAAACATTCTCTGCAAAAAGAATTCTCCCTTCGGCAACGCCACCTTCTTATTTCTCCGATTCTTTCATTTGCTTCAATTTCACTGTTTACAGAATTTGTTTTTGTTTCCGTTTCCGTTTTTGACTCCGATTTTCCCCCAAAAAGTTACGCGGCAGCCGCTACCCCAATAGTTTCAATTCCTTGATGAATCTTCCTTCTCAATCGAACTTCAAAGATCTGATCAAGCTTTTGATTCCTTTTTTGGAATTGATGTTCCTTACTTCATCAGAGAATCATTGATTTCGCTATATATATCTATCTATTAGACCAGAACGAAGGTAGAAGAAGAATCAATCGACGCCATGAAGAAGGTCCATCCAGTCTCGAATAAGCAGAATCCAAATGGTCGTAACTCGCTTTCTCGTGCTCAATCGTTTCTAGGTTTAAACCCTAAGAAACTGCGGCGGTTGCCCCATGTTTTCAGTCGGGTTTTGGAGCTTCCATTTAGATCTGATGCCGATGTTTCGATTCTCGAAAACTCTAATTGCTTCCGATTCGTAGCGGAAACTAATGGAATTAGCGACGAATTTAGGGCGCATACGGTTCAAATCCATCCTGGCGTTATCAAGGTTGTAGTTAGACAAATTGGGGCTCTGGAATCGACGTTAGAGGAACTGGAGATCGACATGTGGAGATTTCGACTGCCGGATACAACTCTGCCAGAGCTTGCCACCGCCGCGTTCGCCAAGGGGAAACTCGTGGTGACGGTTCCGAAGAGGGAGGACGCCGGAGAAGGTACGTGGGGGAATAAGAATGGGGGTTTTAAAGGTGGCCGTTTAGTGGTTGTACAGTAAAAAGAATCCCTGTGTCGCCATTTTCCATTTATTGAGCAACTTAATGAAATCTCTGTTCACTGTTCTTCTGGGTTGAGCTGATTGTTCTGATTTTTTCTCTCTTTCTGATTCAAAATAGCTTGAATTTACATAGAACATGATGATATTACTGAAGAACTTGGCAAACTTTGTTCAACCTTCATTCATTTCACTGTGTTGGGCTCTGATTCATTTCACTGTGTTTGTTTTTGCTGATTAATCAATGTTTGTGGGCTATGGCCATTGCCTGCTCCATTATTGCACAAAAGGCACTCAAAAGTTAGGAGTATATGTTCCAATTTAGATTCACTAGCATCAGTTCCCTTGTGTTTCTTGATGGCCAATTGCCCATTCTTCCACTTTGTTCGGTGAATCTGTCTCTGGACATCATTTCTGGTTCTTCGCCAACCAACCATGCTTGGAGCTGCCCCATGACATTGACTACCATACCAAATGGACCAAAATGGTCAATATTGACTGGCGTTGAACTTGGATGGATGCATGTGATGTCCCAAAATGAAAATTGTTACACATTATAAGTCACTATGACTCTCTTTCTAGTTGTCACGGTTCTAAGACATCAAGAATAATATCGCAACCAAGTTCGGAGATAATGAATAGAAAAAAGTAGTAGCAATATTTGACTATTTTTTTTATATTTAAAATGTCTTTATTTAATAAAAGGTATTAATAAGAGCCACAAATTTATTTGATAAAGTTTCTTCAAACAAAAAAAATTATTGGATAAACAAGAATAAATAAATGCGAACATAACCCGCATTTTAATTTATATATTCTCGATGAAATTTGTAGTACTATAATAATACATACTTCTTACTTTTAGCATTTGACACGTCATTTAATAATATTTATCTTATTTTATGAATCCCACAAATTCAAAACTTTTCTTTACTCGTGGGTCCGAGAGGGTTTGTGTTTTTGTCCATCTCGAGTTTGGGTTGGTATCGGAGTCCATTTTGTCTCGATCTTATTTTTGGTGTCCTCACGGATTTGATTTTGTTAAAAATTAACTAAATCAATAAATATAAAACATAAATTTTATATTTAATAGAACTATTAGTAAATATGTAAATTTAAAAAATTGGAAAAGATTGGATTAAATAGATAATTTTATCTTAAATTAATAAAATATATTTACCAATGTTTGAAACTTATTTTTATCGTTATTTTTAGATTAAAATTATCAGTATTTTCATCGGTACTCCAACATTTTTAAAAATTAAAAATATATATAATAACGTATTTAAAAAATATCAATAAAATTATAAAAACAGTATTAATACAATTTTTTAGTTTTATAAAAAATTGAAGAATTAAAATGAAATCGTGTAATCTGATAATTATCTTGCACGAGGATCTCCGACGAAGCATCCAAATCGGTACAGTTCTTATTCAGGAGAAAAATGGCGGTTCCAGTAGCAAAAGCAGCGTCGCTCGCCCACATAGCTAGAGAATCTTCGGATATCCATCGCCTTTCTGAATTCTACAAAGAGGTCTACAATCTCTATCTTCTACCTTCTTTTCTTTCATTTCACAACAGCTTTTTTGTGTTCATGGCGGTTGTTATTTGGTGGTGCAGATGTTTGGATTCGAGGAAATTGAGAGTCCAAATTTTGGAGAACTCAAGGTTATTTGGCTGAACCTTCCTTCTGCCTTTCAACTTCACCTCATCGAGAGAGACCCTAAATCCAAGCTACCTGAAGGTCCATGGAGCGCCACGTCACCCGTTGTCGATCCTAGCCATCTTCCCCGAGGTCACCACATCTGCTTCTCTGTTTCCAGTTCCAATTTTGACTCTGTCGTTCATTCTCTCAAGGTAAATTTACAAATTAGCCTTTCGATTTTGATTTCTTCGTCGTAGTAGTTTGGAAACTGTTCGAGATTTTTGCTCTGTCCATTTATTTGGTTGTACATTAGGGTTTAATTATACCAAGCATAAAAAAACTCCGGGATTACGAGATGAACTGTATGATTTGCATGAAGAATTGATTTCGGATTGTCTGGCTCTATAATTTGCTAGTTAGGAGGAATTTTAGTTCACATCTCCACTAAGACTCGAGTCTGTCTCAGAAGTCTTCTTTGACGAACTTAATGAGATTAGTTCACTAATCACTATTATAATGTATTTCAATTTGAATGCTAAATTTATAGTGTAACCCAAGAATTCAATCTAAAGTGACGTTGAATTAATAAAAATAAGTACAGAATACAGAGAAAAGAAAAAACAACGAAGTTCGAACTTCTTCGACTATATAAATCTGTATGCAGGAACAATTCTGTGGAAATATTTTCTCATGGTTTATAGGAAGTTTGCGCTTTCCTTAGATGTGGCCACACTAATTTTGATTTTGCTGCAGGAAAAGGGCATACAGACATTTGAGAAAACCCTACCAAATGGGAAGGTAAAGCAAGTCTTCTTCTTTGATCCAGATGGTAAGTTTTTCCCTAGCCATTTTTTCTTCTTCTTCTTTCTCGTTCTTTGTGTGTGTGTGAATATGTGATTAAAATCCTGTTTTCCTGTACTGGACTTCTGTTATCAGCGTTCATCTTTTGATAATTTTCTCTGTTCTTCCATCATGCTTGATAAAGAAATTTTGTTTTTCTGGAGTCTGATTGCTGACTGATGAATGATGATCAGTACTTGTATGTTTAGACGTTCTGGTATTCGATCAGTTGGTAAACAATTCATGTCTATGCAGGTAATGGATTGGAGATTGCAAGTCGGGAAGATTGAGTAAGAAAGATCTAACTTTACATGATGTAATCGAATGTAGTCTTGTCTGCAGGCTTATAAAAAGGGTTCATAGTTGTCTTGTTGACTTGTGTTGTGTATCAAAAAATGGGAATGTAAGGAATTGATATAAAAAGTCAATAAATTTGGCTATACTGACTGAACCAGTCGAATCAAATGGTTGTATTTCTTAATGAAGGCTATGTTGGGCGCCATCGTGGTTGTTTGCCAAAACTCTTTGGAATTGGAATTAGATTTGTAGTTCCACTGAAATAAGATCATGAGAATGCTCACTACAGGAAAATGGCTTGGTAGGGAGATGTTTAGTGGTGAATAAGTAAGTTTCATACAGACGGTGAGGATGTCAAAGCATTTTTGTTTCAGAAAATTGAAAGGTAGAAATAGTTAATGGGTTCATTGAGCCAGCCTCGCTGAGAGAAGGTTACAGATGGAGGTGAAAACTTCACCCTAATCCGTCTTGAACTTACTCGAAACCTTCTTCATTTTTCTGAGTTTCCTATAGATCGAGTAGGTCGAGTTTCTGAAACTGTTGTTTCTCTCTTCAGAAGATTTTATGGGTTAGTTTTTAGTCTGTAATTTCCACTATTGGGTTCGAACTTTTTGTTGTTTTTAAGAATATTTGTTCTCTCCTTTTCTGTCGTGTCAAGAAGAGTAAGTATAAATGGAAGATATTTCAACTGTTGGCCTTGTTCTCATGTTGTTGAAACAACAATTCTGTCGTCCCACATCCAGCAAGAGTTTCAGCTTCAATGGCGTCTCCTATGGGCTGTAGCTAAAAAGAAAGAGCACCTTACTTATCAGCTGCCATCTGTCACAGTGACATGCTGGCACTGAACAGCTTGATTCCTGTAAGATAGAGCTATCAGGATTCAACACGTGTCTGGTCGAACCGACGTGTCATTAACTACCCCACCCAAGTTCCAACGACCGTTTTAGTCCCTCTCCTCGACCTGCAACATTCCTCCATCTGTTCAGATAAGTATCCTTTATGAAAACAAATGTCAAGAACAGCCGCGCCGCACGAACAGCTAGAACCTATGGTGTTGTTCAACGTCTCTGGAGACGTTGTCTCCAAGGTTATACCACCCGTGGACGCTGACATGATGCAACTGCCGAGACCATGGTGTTTAGTCAAACCCAGTAGGGCGGCCCTGCCGTTTTGGCTTCGTTGGCCTCGAGGATGTAACTGATGCTACCAGAGATAAGGAGTTGCTGTTAAAGACACCGATGTCCCAGGAAATCGCATCATTACTGATACAGTTGGCCAGACAGGTCCTCTTTTTAAGAGTTTTTAACTACATTTTAGTTCTGTTTTATCTTTTGATTAAGCTCGAATCTCAAACTCACTCCTTGATTTTGGTTTGTTTCTTTCCCAGTGCAGATCGTTGGGCAGTTTGTGGAGCCTGCGCCCATTATTTTAGTTGTCATAGCAATGCAGAGCGCGGTCACCATATAGGACAAGCCCTTGAAGCGACCGTTCATGCTGCAGGTGATAAACCGCAGAGCGATGCTGCTGCCTTTCAAGCAGTAGAGGTGAGGGTAACAGGGAGCAATGCCGTGATACCAGGTGGACTCGCAGCCTGTGCTCAGTAGGCTGCTTCTTTCAATGCTGGGGTTGGATGAACGACATCCTAATGGTGCTGGTAGAAAAAATTATGTAGTTTTCAAAATTTAGACGTAGAATTCTGAAAACTAATAACCAAACAAATGAACCAATTATATTAGGTTAATTTCCCGAACACAAAAAATCAAATGGTAAACAGAGTCATAATTGTTTAATCATATTGTAAACCATCTTAGTTATTTATTTATATTCTTCACCCGTTCTCACTCTTGTGTTCACTAAGTTACTCGTGGCTTGGAAATTTAGTTAAAAGTCCATCAACTGACTATCCAGTTACATATTGGGATTTGAACACAGAATCCCCCTTTGGGAATCGAGATGAGGATTTCTTGCGCTTATAAGTTGAACCATATTAGCTTTACCTAAAAAATGGTTTGAATACACGACTTGTTACCATAGAAATGATTGGCTGGACTCTACATTTCAGGGTGCGGCGACGAAGCAGGATGCGGAAGGGGTGATGAGTGCAGAGCTGAGGAACAATGCGAGGCAGGTGGCCCATCGTGGTGGGGTGGCGGAGTCCATGACAGAAGCCGCCAAGCCCAATGAGAACGTTAGTAATGCACCACAGTGAGCGTGAGAGTGGTGATGGGGGTGCGTTGTTTCGTTGTATTATACCATTTTGAGTTGGTCTGTTGTTTGTGATTTTGCAGTGTTCCAAGTTTGCAGTAAAGATGGCAACAAACGAATTTCAATGAAGATCCCATGTTAGCCCAATAAATGAACAGGTGAATAAGACGTATGGAATTGACCAAGCTTCACATGCAAGCACATAGAATATAACAATGGGCGGTCCAGTTTTGAAAACTTGGAAAAGTGGCGAAGCTGAAATGGGTTGGCTCTGTACCTGTGGAGGGCTGCTGCCATGCGAAAGCTGCAGGCAGGGGCAGGTTCATTTAAAAGATGAAAGCTGCGTTGTTTTCCAACCACAATCCAAATGGTACGCTCCCTTTTGACCCAATTTAACATGACATTATGCATGACAATCCCAAATAAAATTTAGAAATCCACAGTTTCTTGTGGGTACTTTTTTTCACTGCCTTGCATATTTTGAACAAGGATTAAGGTCAAATTTGGGAAGCTTTGGTTTGAGTAAAAGCCAATAACAACAGGGTCAATAGATTCTTCCCCGTGGGAGGAAAATATTGGGCCTTAGGAAACGTCACTGTCGGAATCCACATGCATCTAAAGTTTGCGTCTTCTGTCACTGTTTCAACTTTTTGTATGACACAATAATGGTTAAAAGAAAAAACAAATCATGTGGCTTCAAATTTTGATCACCTCTTGCCTGTCTCTTTCAGTACTATCAATCCCTCAGTTGAAATGTCCATGTACTAAACAACACCCTCAGGCCTCAAATATAACAAATTGCAAATAGCAATGGACCCCTTCAATTAGTCTTCTCTCTAGTATTTTAAATTTTTTTTTTTTATGAATACTAAGAATTCTCTCCACCCTTGGCCCGAAAACTCCATTATCGGGTTGAGTTGGTATATGATGTGACATTTTTCACATTTGGAATTCTCTTCTTCTGGAGTTTGAAACCCCTATTATCGGATTGAGTTTATCTGATGTTGTAACATTTTTCACATTATAAGAGTATTATAAATTCTCTCCTCCGTCGGCTTGAAAACCCTATTATTAGATTGAGTTTGTCTAATGTGTGACATTTTTCACATTATGAGAGTATTAGAAATTCTCTCCTCCCTACGCGTGAAAACCCTATTATCGAATTGAGTTTGTTTGACGCGTCACATTTTTTACATTATTGAGAGTATTAGAAATTCTCTCCTCCCTTAGTTTGAAAACCCTATTATCGGATTGAGTTTGTCTGATGTTTGACATTTTTTCACATACAAGACTGCTAGAAATTCTCTTCTTCCGTGGTTTAAAATCCTTATCACCAGAGTGATGTAACATTTTTCACATTGCGAGAGTATTAGAATTTCTCTCCTCTCTCGGTTTGAAAATCATATTATCAGATTGAGTTTATCTTATGCTTTAGGGGAGTGTTAGAAATTATTCTCTCTTCCATGGCTAAAAAATCCTATTATTAGATTGAGTTTGTTTGATGTGTGAAATTTTTTTCACATTAAGATAGTATTAGAAACTCTCACCTTCCTGCTTGAAACCTCTATTATCTGATTGAGTTTGTCTCTGTGGTGACATGCATTTTTTAGATTACGAGAGTATTAGAAATTCTCTCCTCCCTCGGCTTGAAAGCCCAATTATCAGATTGTGTTTGTATGATGTGTGACATTTTTACATGTTTACGAGTAACATGAGTTCGACATTGATGTAAAATATTAAGGGAAAAAAACAACTAATTTTGAATATAGGAAAAAATTAAGTTAGTTAAAAGTGATGAAATATGTATGAATTTAAATTATAAAACTTAAAACAAAAAATGAGGTGTGAAAATGGAATTAAGAAATTAAACACACACGTGCGCACTCTTGTTTGTTTAAATCTTCCGCTCTTTCTACTGCAACCAAGTCATCTGAAAAAAATGTCCAACCGTTTCCTAAAACATTTCCATTTCTCCAAACTCAAATTCTCACCGCCGGCCGCCGTCGCCCACTCCTCATCCTCCGACTGCTACTTCACTTCCAACCCCATTTCCCTCACCCCTTCCTCCCTTGCCGACGACGGCTTCTTCTCCACCTCCTCCGATGCCGACGACTCAATCTCCGACGACCTTGCCACCCTCCTCGCCTCCCGCCGCTTCTTCTTCTCCTCCCCCGGCCGCTCCAACTCCATTTGTGACTCCTCCACCGCCCGTCGCCGATCCCACGACGTCGTGGTTTCTGAAGGTCTCGAAGTCCCCAAATATTCAATGGACCCTTACGCCGACTTCCGGCGGTCAATGCAGGAGATGGTGGAAGCTCGAGAATTGGAGAGTGTGAGGAGCGACTCTGAGTTTTTGCGAGATCTTTTGTCGTGCTATCTCCGGTTGAATCCGAAAAACACCCATAAGTTCATTGTTAGAGCTTTTGCTGATCTTTTGCTTTGCTTGTTAACATCCTCCTCGTCCGCTCCCCCGTCGGCTCCTAAAGCACGACGGAAAGGTGTTATGTTTCGCTAATTTTATGCCCTCTAAAGTTCAATGGATTTCTTATATCTTAGACCAATACACATATTCCGACTAGTACTTCAAAAGTTCAGTTATATATCTAGTTTCTTTAAGTTCTCTGAAACCCCTGTTTTCATTTTTGAACTTCATTTAAAATTGTTTCAGGAAAGTTTCATTCTCGATAAATAAAGGATGAAGATTGAGATGATATCTGGTGTTAGCATGTGTTAGGATATCATTACAACTAGGTAGAAGATTAAGATTTGTTTATTTCATCTTAAATATTAAAATTATTTTTCTGATCAACTTTTGTGGCGTGAAATTGTGTTAATGATGTTATGTATATATTAAAAGAATTCACTGCTCAAAGCACTGATTCCCGCTTATCCTTGATCTAGCAACAGGATGAGTGTGATTTTCTTCGTTTGAAACTTGTTTGCTTTCCATAGATTTAGCTACTATTTCTACTGAAGTTCTTCCCAAAATTTATAGTCCTA